GTTCCCATATATACCATGCCATTTGTTAACATTTTACAACACCGTGGTGTACGTGTCAAAATTAAGAAACTGACACTGATACATTATTATTAACTAAACTCCAGACTTTATTTGGATTTCATCAATTTTTCCACTGATATGCTTTTTCTATTCCAGAATCTAACCCAGAGTGCCATTTTTGTATTTAGTTGTCATGTGTCATCAGTCTGTTATGATTTGCGACTGTTTCTCAGACTTTCCTTATTTTTCCTGAGTGGCACTAGCCAGGTAAACTGGGGAATGTCTCCAGAGTTGGGTATATTTGATGTTTTTCTCATAATAGGATCCCTATGATGTATAGATTTTTGGAAAGAGTACCATAGAGGTCAAGTGCCCTTTTAGTCACATCAGATGAAGGTATATCTCCGTTTTTGAGAACAACTGCTTTGGTTATTAGAGATGGAACTAGAATGGAGATAGTATGATCTATCCAGCATCAGAACACATTATAAGAGACGAATACAGGAAATTGGGAGGGATGGTGGGAGGCCAGCAATGGAACTCCCTCTTTTCCAGCTAATCCATCTGAATTGAGGGTCAAGAGACAAACATTCTATTCCAGGTTCCTCCACTGACTAGTCTCTAGGGAAGGCAATTAGTGTTTGTTTCTTCATCTGTATGATTTTGAAGTTGATATCTGGGACTATTCCTAGTGCTGAAATTATGTGATTCTAAAACTCTGGAGTGGGTTTTTATTCGTTAAATATCGTCCGTAGTTTCGTTTCCTAAAAAAGAATGCGTTGTACTCCCGAGTAAGACCCCACCTAAATGTCTGGGTTTTGGCAAAGGAAGATGGCAGAAAGGCAGCTGTGCCTCATTATTGGGTGTTTCTGATACTTGTATCCTCAGAATGTCAAGCACCTGGCAGAGAGAAAACAAACTATAAAGACTAAGAAGAAAGTTCAGCTCATTCACTCATCTTTGTTCCGGGGACTCACCTGTTCTCTCCATTATGATAAAGTAAGAAGTAAATGATGGAATGTATTTTTGAAATCTCAGAAAGAATATACATTTTCGTACTTTTAAAAATCTGTTAATGTTGCCCCTTTGCGTAACTCTAACCGGGTTTAAATGGAAGGCTGGCTTGCAATGTTGGATATGCTAAATTGCCAATAATTTGTACAGAGCCCGGGATTGCAAAACCACAAAAATTTCACAATAGCGGAAACCTCTAATTAACCAAATAAATGGCAAAGTGGATTGGTTTTAAATATACGGCTAATAATGCTTGCTGCCTTGAGATCATAAACTGAGAGATTCTCTATTAAGCTGAGATAGGTAGGCTGCAGAAGGTTTTGGAAAAATCTTTTCCACATCTGTGTTAAGTCTGACCCAGAACATTCTACTAATATTGGATCAAACTCTCCTCTGATGTAACTTGCCTGTGGGAATTGTATTGGCTGTGAAACTGGCTCCCCTTAGGAACTGGTGTAAAAAAAAAAAAAAAAATTATTATTATTTTTTTTAATCACAATTCTGTGGTTTGTTTTGAATGACTGAAGCCAGGTTCCTAGGCACTGAGACAAGAAAGAATGTCAAACGGGACCTTTGATGTGTATTTATATTTAAACATCAGACCTAACAGAAAACCCTGAAGCTTTATACAATGATTGGAGCCTTGTAAGAACCTAATTAATGTATCTTGGGGTGAATGGTTGGCCTGGCACACGAGCCGTCCTAAGGTACTCGAGAGGGTTCAGGTACTGCCTGGGAAGAATAGATGTGGTTGTAGTGATTCAGTGGCCCGTCTGAAAGGGACATGTAAAGGCAGCTTTGTCTGGCGTGCCGCCTTTTCAGACTCACTTGATAATGCTAGTGTCAGTTTCAACTGAGGCGTGGGCCAGATTGCAGATAGCTTGAGCAGCCATGTCAAAGCCGTTAATTGTGAAACTGGAGAAGAGAATGGGCACATTTTTCCGAAGGGGGCTATTCAAATGCAGTCTCTTCCCCCCCAGAACTCCCGTCTCACTTTTGTTCCGGTTCCACACAAAATGCGTGAGGAACCTTGAGCCTTTCCCTCGGTGCCTCCTCTATCACTGCCTCTGCTGGGACTGCTTTGCCTTGTTACAGTGTGCCCCGTGTATTAAAATGAAATTGTCACTGCTGGGTGGTGCAGTGTAACAGGGTTTGACACGAAGCGCCTGCAGCTACAGAAAACAGACTTTTATTGCGTTTATTCTTTCAGAGACGAGTCTCTAAAGGCTCGCTGCCGACATGCACTCAGTTAAATCTGAATGAAGCAAAGTGAACCATCTATGCCTGTCTTCGCGTTACTAGAAACAACCCCCATCTGGCTTGATATGACTGTAAAATAGTCTCCAGGAAAGACGATCAGACTTAGAATCCAAGAGGGAAGACTTGAGGCTTTCAATCCAGTGCAAAAATATTTCAGGTGGGTGGAGTGGGGGAGCCACCTGATTTTCTACTTTAGCTTCTGTATTTCCTCAAACACATTATATAGAATGAACAAGAATGTGCAAACACAGACACACACAGACACACACACACCCCAATCTGGTTTTAGTCTTCATTTAGAATTCCATGTCCTTTTAAGACAAAGAGAAAGGATCTGATTTGTAGGACTCTTGCAAGCAAGCTTCAGATTCTTAACTGTCTTTTATCTAGATGAGTATCCAGAGAGAGATTGAACAAGGAGGGGGCTCTGGGGCATAAGCTTTTCATTCTGTAGCTCTCCTGGAATAAAAATTCCATAAAGTAACATCTGTAGTAATTAAGGGCTTGCATTTCCTCTCCCATTCATGTCTCTGGTAGGAGGGAAGGTTATTGTCCCTAAGAGACGATAGATAATAGATCCTGTGGGAAGACAGAAAGAACAGAATTAGAATTCTTTTGTTCCTAGAAATGTAAGTTTCTTACTTCAAAAAAAAAGTAATAATAATAATAACAACAGGCTGGAAGACTTACTGTAAAAGATTCCACAGAAAGAAAAACTCAAAGGGGTTAAGAAAGTTGTACTTTGCTATTCCTCAGTGTTTGGAATGGAGAAAGGTTCATCTTGCGTTTCTTACCCAAATATCTTTTCATTTGCAGGCACTTGTGATTAAGCAGTGAACGAAATGCTCTCTTTATTTTTATTTATATTTATTAAAACTGTATGTTATTAAGCTTAAAGAGGTTTGGTTGTTTTTTCTCCCCCACATTTGGACATAAAATCAATTCATTCTTTGCATGTTCTTCAAAATAACACCTATGTGAATCCATTGAGCCATCTGATAAATGAATAATAACCTGTTGGGTTCCTACACTTTCTTGTCATAGCAGGACCAGTGACGTAATTAGTGGAACCCAGTGCAAGTTAAAAATACAGGACCCCTTGTTAGAAAATCATGAAGAATTTCACGATGGTGCCAACAGGTTTTAAGCCACCAGACTTATTCTAAATCTGTGGCTCCCTTGTTTTGCCCTGGTCTCAGTTTTACTGGGTAGGTAGAGATTTGCCATTTATCTGTATTTCTATACAAAAGAATGTGCCTCCATCCCATGCCTCATAGAAATGTACATCAGAGAAGATAGTTTTTTTTTTTTAATTGAATCAGAAAATAATGATGCCCCGCCCCCCCTTGGAACATGCTCCTGATACCATCTTGAATTTCTTAACCTGATAATTCAGGTGGCCTCGTCTGCATCTCTCAGCTTACCTTCAAGAGTACCACCAAACCCTGTAAACCTTCCACACAAGCACAGTATTCTGCTCACCTCACCAACCTCTCAAAGGACACAGGGTCAGGTCAGTCCCCTGCACTAATGACTTCTCTAAGGGCCCTTCTGGCATCCTATGCCTACTTCTCAGTGTTTCCCTCGTTTCTGGAATTCCTCTCACATTTGAATTCCTGTAGCTGTAATAAATGTTTAACTTATTTGGCGTTTGTTTACATATTTTCCCTTATCTTATTTCCTGTGCATGTAATAGGCTCCTGAAAACACACTTAAGACTTAGGTGTAGGGAAGTTTTATAACTTGAGTTAAAAGATTCCATTCCAAGGAAGCTCATATTAATAACACAGCAGAAAATCCAAAATTATACTTTGCCTTTTAGACAAATTTCACACGTTTCGTACACATTCTTTCATATGTGTGTGAGCTGTTTTTTTAAATTTGTATTTGCCTCTAGTGTATTGTTTGGGGGACTTAATTTCCTTTCATCGGAATCAGCCCTTTAATTTTTATCTTCCCCAGCCAATGTTATAAAATAATAAAGCCCCGCTATAGTTAATTATTCAGAAAATGTTGCCAATACTAGAGTACTTAGGATAGGGCGACAGTGCCAATGTTGACATTACGATGGTATAGTTCAAAATGTTCATTCATTAGCTTGCAAGTGAGATGCCAAAATTTGGCCCAAGAAACCTAGTTTAGGAATACAGATGTCTAGTATGAAAAACGAAAGGATTTCAAAAATTCAAAGGGAAGAAAGTTCAGGACTTGAGGTTTATGTATTTATGTTCTTCTCTCACATTTGGGACCCCAAATATATTCCCTTTTGTATCTTCACCCAGTAGGTTTTCAACAAAAGTATTGAGGTATTGATGACAACACTGTTATATTAAGCCTCAGAGCCCTCGATCCAAAGAGCAACAAGACCTACCTTTCAACTTTGCTAATTCAGATGTTCAACAGGTATTTACTGAGCACTTTCAAATGCCAGATACTGTTTGGTGGATTAAATAAGATAATGCCTCAGTATTTCTTCTGGGAAGGGAATCAGCACAGAGCCGTCCATATAGGCAACTTCCAATGTGGTAAATACTACATACTCCCAGCAGTGGTGAGTTCGTGATATTCTGATCATGGTGGTCACGGCAACAGTTGACAAGTCTTGTGGAATTCTGAAATCAAGCTTTTCTGTGGTTTTCCTATTTTTCTTTTCATTTTTATTTACTTTTCCTGAATATGCATGACCTTATAAAAGTATATGATCCCCTGTTTACCTCTTTTTCCAGAATGGAGTCTACTGAAAAATGTGAAGTGGTCATTCAACATTTTAATGGAAAATATCTGAAAACACCACCAGGCATCCCAGGTAAGAAATGCCATTAAATAATCATTCATTTATGTCTAGGTTTATTGCTGTTGTTTAAATGAGTACATGGTAAAGGCCTCGGTTGGTCACTGGGAACAAAAATGTTGCTTTTGTAATTGTGTCTTTTTAAATAATATGTAGCAACTCATCTTTCTCAAAATAACCAAAATCTTCTTGATGATTCTTTGGCCTTTCTTTTGACTCTGCTACTGATTGCCTGAAGTGAATTGGAAGAGAAATAGCAAAGAATCGTTTAAAATTCATTTCAAGTGAAGGAAGTTCATGACTCCTGTCATTAACATTGGTATCTTGATTTCCATTTATTTATTTATTTTTATTTTTTTTATAAATTTCTTTTTTTTTTAATTTTATTTATTTATTCGAGAGAGAGAGAGAGAGAGAGACAGAGTGAGAGAGCAGGAGAGGAGAGGTCAGAGGGAGAAGCAGACTCCCCATGGAGCTGGGAGCCTAATGTGGGACTCCATCCCAGGACTCCAGGATCATGACCTGAGCTGAAGGCAGTTGCTTAACCAACTGAGTCACCCAGGTGCCCCTTGATTTCTATTTTATAATGTATCTCTCTAAACAGTGGTAGTCACAGTGAAATACACTGATTGATGCAAGTTTCCAAACATTTCCTACCAGTCCATCACAAGAAGAGTACAGAGAGTGAGAAGAAGCTTTTAGAATTTTTTTTTTGCATTTAGAAACTTTTGTAGCAATTTTATGTTACCATGAAATCTGAATGCATAATTTTATATATTTTTTAAAAATATCAGTACCTGACATATTGATTTTTTCTTTCTTTCTTTCTTTTCCTTTTTTTTTTTGTAAACTGTCTACTCATTAGAAACAGTTTGAGAAGCACCAATCTCGACTCTCCGAGGACATTTCACATTTCCCAAGGCAAAATCCTTAAGCTTTTATACACATCATAAGATGATATAACTTTCTACTATTAAAAATTACATTCAACATAAAGAATTGAATATATCACATGTGTATGGACTTAAGCTATAATGCCTCAACTTGCTATTAATCTGGTAGTAGTATATATGGCAAGGGTTTAATATTCAGTGAGTAGATTTAAAAATATATCTTACTCATGAATAAAAATATTTGAGATTGAATGGAGTGCTAAAAAGGAAGAATTATAATGAGTGGATAAAGAAATGTCTGACTAATCCATCTTGGTTTATTGGTTGCTCTTTCATTTTCGGTGACTCTCAAGGGAAAAATGTGACTTCTTCAGTCTTATATTTTCCTTTTGATTCTTTAAAGCTGGACTTCCATTGTGTTTGCTATGCAATGTGTCTGCTATTTAAAACACATGGTTAGAGAGTTCAGGGGTTGGATATTTCAGTTCCTTAAAATGTATTGAGGCTATATAGAAGAGGAAATCTGAACAAAAAGAGAAATATTAATGTAGAGGGGTCAGGGTCCTTTTAGGACTCGGTTCATCTGGGGAGGGTGTTGGGAAAGGAGAAAGGCCCTTCAGACGCTCACTTAGATGATCTGGAAAATCCAAAGTAGCATCTCCTGGTTAATCAGAGAACACACAGACATTGATGCCTGTGCCTCAATTTGGTTAGCTTCCATGTGTAACGTTCCCTTGAGAACTGACTGCATTATGATCCAATTGGAGACATATGGTGTTGTTAAGAAGAGTTAGCAGTTTTCATCTCAGCATGTAAGCTGCCCTTGAATTTTAGGAGAAATACTTATTTTTTTTTTCTTTTAGCATAAAAGACACTTTAAGACACTCTGCTCAGACCTATCACTGAATAAAGGGGTTGAATTGTTAGAGGATTCTCCCCTTATTTATCCCATTTTATCCAGTAAATGCCTTCTATATAGAAGGCATCCAAACTGGGTGTGAATTAGATGGTTATATATAAAAAAATTTAAAATGAACAAATTATGTAGAAATTATTGTTGATTCAAGTTAAAATACCTCTCAGGGTTTTTTTGTTTTGTTTTGTTTTGTTTTAGGTTTCTTCATTTTCATAAAAAGACATTGAAATCCTTCTTGACTTGATTTGAAACTGTACTATTTGGTTTTCCCCCATAGAACATAGCTGACTAATACAATTTAATGCTAAAGACAAAGAAAGTCCCTATAAATCCCCAAATGTCTGGGCATTCTTCCTGAAAACACAGGCTGTGATATCAACCTGTCTAATATCATAGCTACACCCAATGGAAACATTGTGAATAGCAAGTACCTGGTTATGAGTTTTTCATTCACTTTTATCTCATGGGAACACAAGAGGCAAAATAATTATGCTCAGTTATAAAACTCTTAAGAGATACAAGTTTATGCTTCTGAGCTTTGCACTCAATGTAGTAAAATTAAATACACAATATTGATCATCATTATTACTTGAATTTGCTTATTTATGCAGTGGAAGTCAAACCATTTAGTAAAAGTTTCAAATGTTAACAGAAAGTATTTAATCTTTAATATTTAATCTTTAATATTGAATTTTGATACAGAAAAAACAGGCTATAATGCAAAATGTGGGTATTTTGGTTAAGTCCAGTAGTAAAATGCCTTCATTAGGCTGATTCACAAAATCAGAATGGGTATGATCAAATATGAGTGTATGTTGTTTGCCCTTATTGGTCCTCTCTGCTTATTTACTGTAGTTGATTGAAATGTTTTCAAATGCTCATTTCTTAATCCAATTTTCTGTTCCAAGTTGAAGATTGCAAGTGGGATGTCACTATAGGCCCTAATAGCAAATTGGAAGTGATTCCTTTGATATTTTCAAAAGAAATGACCAGCTTCTTAACTTTTTCAATCCTAATGTAGCTTTAGAGATATATATCCTTGCTTGTGGGTATACTAATTAAAACCAACAATAATTGATCTGACCCCCCTACAATTAAAATAGAATTCAAAAAATTATAAAAATCTCAGTGTTCTATATTATCAAGATTCAGCATCTTTGAATTCAGAAGTTTGCAATTTTTTTGGAAATCACATTGATTGTTTCAATATAATGTTTTAAGGTCATGTGATTGATGGCCTCACAATGATCCAATAATGACCAGAGAGTCTCAAGTTGTAAGCTTTAGAAAAGATTGCATGTTAAGTCAATCATCTTCTTACACTAGACCCTGCTTTTATCTTACTCTAAGAAAGTAGGGAACAATTGGTACTGAATTTGCATTCTTTATTTCTCCATTTAGGGATGACTTGGGGGAAATGTGCACATGTCACTGGGCAAATACAGTGCCATTTTGGTTTCTGTCACTTTTGACAAATGATTTCTCTTAAAGGAGATGCAAAGATAATTATTTCCCTGAGATGATCATCTAGTTCCCAAATCCCCTACTGTGTCATTTCTATACAAGAATTAGAAAAAGATCTAATTCAACCCAAAACTTTGGCATTGCTTTGAATTTCAAATTCAAAAAACATTATAGTTAAGGATATTTACAAGGACGTGTAACACTGACCACATTTAAGTTGTTGCTTCCATTCCAATTTGTTAGCCTAGCAACAATTTATTCATTAAAAAAGATTCAGGGTGGTATTTAATCTTGATTCCTGCTGACAGATGATGTGAGTTGGAAGGAAACTTTGTAGATATCTTCTTTTGGTTCATGCTTTCCTGGGCTCCTCCTTTTTGTTCATATAAAAGATCTAATTTTAAGAATATATCATGGATTGTTAATGTGTATTAGAGCCTCCAGAACTAGTTCTTTTCACTTTGGGTTGTAACACTGTTCCCAGATTTTGGTTACCTGGATCAATGAAGCTCAAATATACATGCCAAAAAAATAAAGTATTTGAATTCTGGTATATATGATATGGGATCGGGCAGCTATGTTTCTACTAGCAGGTGGGAAGGAGAGGCCAACGTCAATCATGTAGCCATCTGCAGAAAACGATCATCTAGTATTTTCTCCCTCTCTTAGAGGGAAAAGAAAACACAGTGTTCCATAAATGTTGCATGTCCTACATATTGATCTTGATGTTTTCTGGACAAAATGAAGGATCATTAGTTGCTTGCCTGCCTAACCCCAGACATTTCATTGTCCCATAATGAATTGCACAGCAATGTTGTACAGCCCCAAAGCATTTCATTTTCAAACCTCTGGCAGAAGCAAAGGGTAAGTTCCCAGACACTTCAGGGATCTGTAGGGCATGAACTTGAAAGGTTCACTTCCAAAGAGCCCCCGGAGCAGAGCGATGTACCATGTAGAAAAGGCTTCCATGTATAAGGACGTGTATTGATGAATGGATCGTGCAGGCTGGTTTGTAGAAAAATAAATCACATTTTGCTCCAAACTAGACTTCTGCCTATAAACACATTTTCCTATCAATGGAGCAGTCTTTCCAGAAGAAAATGGAATAACCCACTTGTAGTATGATTTTCTTTCTCTTGAGGTAATTATATCTAATCCCAGTTGAACTTCAAAAAAGTAGGGAAGTGTTTTTAGATGTTTTTGAGATGTGATATGTTTTTGAGATGTTTTTAATTTTAACAAATCCGTGATCAACAGCAATTTAGACAACTAAGTGAGTGATAGAGGAATCATATTTTTCTAACAGATAGAATAAAATTTTGTGCCTTATTGATGCTTTGACATACAATCTTTCTGTAGTGTGTTTATGTAAATAAAAATGTGTATGATTGTGGGATATATATTATATTTTGTGGGAGTATGCAAGGAAAAATATTTAAAGTCTGGTAATTCTTTAAAGAACATGAAAAGAAATGTTGTTTACATTCGAACTTTTCCCAGAGTAAAAGATCAGCAAAGTACTTAAATGACATTTATATTCAATTAAAGACATGGTACAAAATTCTGAATGTTTGGCAATAGTATACAAATTCTTATCAGTGGACAGTGTTGCGGTCCCTTACAATCAGTGTTTCCCCAATGATACCTGTCTATTAAGTCCACAAATGTAGCAAATGTTGTTGTTGAGTATAAAGAAACAAATAGAAAAGTGTTATGGTATACAGCTTAGCAAAAATATATTT